TTAAATTCTTGGGGGTACTATGACAAAAGTGTGTATATATATGTAAATAAAACTGCCATGTTAAGGTTGTCAAAGTCAAGCTAGCTTAACTGAACTACTTCCCTCTCCCTCCATATTTTTTTCTTAATTACCTTTTTCCTTATCTAATGATAGTGTAGCAAAGCACTGCATCCCTTTGTCTTTTATCAGGCATACATTTAAAATTTTGTGCAATATATATATATATATATATATCACTTTCTAAGTTAACCTGAAGAAAAGTTATACAAAAATCTGAAATTATATTCAATTCATTAATAAAGAGGCAGGCTCACAAATACACTTATAAAAAAATGCTTTGCATTTATGTATTCATCTCCAGTCAGTTTAACAGATGAACTCTCTCCTGGCCCAGACATGTATAGCTTTTGTGTTCATGTTAGCGACGGGATTTGACTTCTTAGTTCGTTGCACACAGAAACTCATCTACCAGCTACGTGCCGCCACGATGAGCTCCGCCACCCATTTGTTGCTGATGTTGATGATGTGAAATTAATTTTCCGGTTCGTCCGCAAAGCTACACTTGCGTTAATCATCTAATGCGCAGTGTTAATATCCACTCACCTGTATAAATACACTTTCAGCGCTCGTCCCCGCCGTTCGCTCTGAACACCAGCCACCAGGCAGCAGCTCCGGGAGGAGAAAAGCTCCAGGCATCGCGCCAGGCATTTTAAGGATGCTTATTGGTCCCCCGAAAAACGACAAAAACCCGGACGACAAAAACCCCATGAATCAATAAAATCCTCCCCGGCCGAACTTAAAAGCTGGACGTTATGCTGCTAACACTTACCTTTCGTCAACAACTCAGGCGGAAGTGAGAGCGCTGTGCAACGCAAGTAATAACCCGGCCGGAACACGATGCGCTAAATAATAAAATATAATTTAACGAAGCTTCGAGGCAGGTAAATTTTCCTCGAGGAATTTTAATACTCTGTCATGAAGTGGGGGGTTGTTGATGGTGAGGAGAGACGCAGAGAACCCAGGTTATGGTGAAGATAATGAATTTAATGATGAAAATAAGCTCAACAGTCCATACAGGCAGCACGGCAGAGACTAGCTCACAGCTAAGTACCGGTAGCAACTGATTCACAGGACTAAACACGAGAGCTGACACTTCCAGGACTTAAACAGTTCTACTGGCGAGTGACGGACACAAACGACGAGGAACACAGACAACGGGAGGGTTTAAATACACACGGGGTAATCAAGGGAATGAGACACACCTGGGGAGCAATCAACAGGGAGGACAGGACAGAGACTCACAGGGAAACAGGACTGAACACAGAAAACTCAAAAATAAACACAAAAACACGGATCGTGACATACTCGAGGTACTCGAATCACTCGAGGAATCGTTTCAGCCCTAATAGTGAGCATCTGTCAAAAACCAATCAGCCTCATAACCTATTGGTTCTCAACCAGGAATAGGTGGACTGCTACCTACAGGCTTGTGAACGAGTTCCTGAAAAAGAACAAAGTCAACAATATTCATGTCAGATTGTAGTCCTCACCTCTGGTCATGAGATATGGATTATGCTCAAACGAAGCGATAAAAGATACTAAGGAGACTGATAACTTTGGTCATACATGCAGTGTTATACTCGCTTATAGAACAAGCTTGCAGGTCTATTTGTGCAATTCCACTTCTGCAGCAACAGCTCCTGTCTATCAGACTTGTTGGACATAGAGTCCAACAAGTCTATCAGTTAATAGTCTTTTGCTTCTGAGGGAAACATCACGAGAGCCTTTTCAGCCAATCAGAAGAATATTTTTATATTCAGATGTGTTACGTTAGACTCAACTGTTTGTGAAAATAACTTGTTTAGTTTGAGAGAGTTTAAAAATATCACTTAATATCACTTTTAAGCATGCCATTCTAGTAAGTATTCAATGTTTAACATCCTATTTTCTAGATTGAACAAAAAAAAACTTTGTTCACAGTAGAGAGATTTTGCTCGTTTTCAGTAAAAACGTTTTTTTAGCATAACGATGACAAGGTCAGCTGCTTGTCATTTTTTGGACAAAGCTGATGTGTTTTTGAGCACTATACTGGTAAAAGAAAAAAAAAGGCTTAAAACAAAAAAACAAAAAAACACAAAGTTGGCTAAAAACTGTAGGTGAAAGAAGTTAAGTTTAGTAGGTAGAAAGACTGAAATTCATTGCCACCTTTGAAGCAGCAGAATAAAAACATGCTAAAAATGGTTTGGTTTAAAATAGTTGCAAGATATTTCAGTACAAAATATAACAACAGCAAATATAATCTAGTCTTTCAGTTTTTGATGGGTTTTATGCCATTTTTTTCTCTAAATACCTATTAACTTTAGGACGTTCTGAGTGCACAGTTGTTTTAAAAGCTGAGTATTATAATATTTAGGGCACCGGGTACACCTATTTCTAAAGTTTTTTTTTATTATTAAATCAGCTTGGTTTGATTTTGCAAGGCCTTATAAGATTTTTCCTGCTTTCTGCCCATTTTTTTTTATTATTATTTTCAAAGACATTTGATATTTAGATTAAATCTTTGTGAAGTTTCTTTAGTAGACATCAGGAAGCCTGTGGCTTTGAAAAGCCCTAATTTCAGAAACGTAGTGTTAGCCAACTTTATGCTCTTTAAAATCATTTTTAAATTTTGTTTGCTCCAACAGACTTTTGATCAATCTAACTCAGATTTCGAGATGATCTTGAAAACTTCTCCTTGAATTCCTCAAACATTCTTCTTGTTGATTTGGGAAAAAAATGGTTTGTCTTCATCATCAAAAGGCAAAAGAAAAGCCTGATAGAGAACTGATGAAACCAGGAGTCTTATGTCGCAGGGAGAATGATTGCTGGATGGAAAACAAGTGAGAGATTATTGAAGGGTTGCAGCTGGGAGGGAATCAGGTGGTTGAGTAATGAGGGAGGCTGAGCAATAAAAATGACACAAGAAGAACACCGTGAACACAGGAATAACATAAATAATATCCAGCACATATGAATCCACAAGAAACACTAACTAAAGTTAAAGCTCATCCGTTTGGGGAGCTGCAAGTTTTAGCCAAGCTTGAAAGTTTCAGAGGAGGAGCTGATGGTGTGCTTAAGGATCATCGCATCAGTCTAAGACGGTTGGAGATTCAGAAGCTTCTAGTGGAGAGCAGAAATTATTTATTGTTTTTTTTTGTTGTTGTTGTTATTCAAGGCCAGAGAAAGCTAATCAGTCTAAAACAATCACTCTATCACTTTGATTTTTGACTGTAGGTGTGACATTTCTTCTCTCATATGATTGGTAAATTTTACTGCAAATGGAACAAGCTGCACACCTTCCACAAATGTCTACTTTTGTCTTGAGTGTCCACAAAGTATTTTCCCTAAAATCTGGGATCATCAAGATGATATTTTGTAAACGTGACACTGGCCTCTGTGTTCTTAGTAAATAGCAGTCGTTTTTGTCCATTTTTGCTTCTTCTGTTTGAATCTTGAACGCTGACCTTTACCTGTGTTGCACTGAACACAGTTCTGGATTCTTCTGTGACATCCTGCATGAATCTCCGTTGCTCCCTTAAAGTGGTTTTGGTAGACTGGCATCTTCTTTGACTATTAACCAATGTTTCATGCTTTCTCCGTTCATAGGCAATGGAGACAGGGATGTGCTGAAATCCCAAAACCGTATAAACGACTTTGTAAACCTTCCCAGACTAATCGATGAATGGCTTTTTTCTGATCTTGCATTCTTTTTGAAATTCAGAGAATCGTGTTGCTTTTTGAGATTTTCGACCTACTTCATGTTGTCAGTCAGGTTCTATTTAAGATAGTTCTTAAATTTTCCTGTGTAGTAGTAATAAGGTATAGCTAATGAACCAAAAAATGCTGGTAATTCATGACTTTACAGACCCAGGTAGGTTTAAAAAACTATGTTCTCCATTTTAAATTTACTCTGGTTATCTTTGACAGTAGAAGCTGTTTTACAAACTTTAAAGTGACCAATGTGCAAAATCATGTAATCTGAAATTCTATATGCTCCTTAGATTTTGTTTTGTTTATATTCAGCACCTTTGCAGTCATGACCACCAGCTGGTTAGCGGTGGTATCTCCGTTTTTAAGACTCTGCACTGTACGTACCGTTGGTTTGCTGTCTATTAAATGATTTTCTGTCCTAACAGATGTACTCAGGCAGTAGTTTATTCTTGTGTGTATCATCAAATGAGCACACAGCCCAAAACGCTCTGCTGGGAGACAAGCGAACATATTTATAGTTGGAACAGAACAGCTCCAAGCTGTGAGATGCCTTTTTTTTTTTTTTTTTTTTATTTCTGGGGCAAAGAGCAACGTGGGAGGCAGGAGCCTGTGTTCTCCTGCTTCACGTTCAGCTGTTGCTGCAGATTTGTGTTCCTGGCTAATTCATCATGCAGATGTGCTGACCGTCCTGGTCCCTGTGGCACTGAGAACTGCTTCAGTAAGGGAATCAAATTAGCCATTGTGGTTTCATTGTTGAAATAAAACGCTGGCTCACGAGGTTTTATTTGGGGGAAAAAGGTCGCATACAGAGGAGAGGAGGACTCATCTTTTTTTTTATTTTTGTTGCATGTCGACCCGGTATATTTTACATCCTCGTTCAGTTTGTTTGTTTTTAATTTACCGTTATGAGTGTCATAATTTCATCCCACTCTTTTTTTATTTTTTTATTTTACACACTTTCTATCTAAATACACTCTGCCACCGGGAGGCTCTCCTTCTGACCGAGTCACTGTGAGGGTCCAGAGTATTTTATATGCAATTCAATCTTTGTTTTGCACTTATGCAGCGATGACTCAGAGAGATTTTTCTTCTTTCTGTTTGTCACGTCTTGTGTCTTGTGTGAGTGTTTTTGCACAGTGCGTGATCTACGTTGAGCCAAGCGGACCTGTGCTCTTTCTGTCATGTTCACTATTTCCCTTTTCTTCGTGTGTCCGTTGCCTTACCCTGTGTCTTTTGCTGTGATGTTGTAGAGCTTGGGACTTATGGGAAACTAAAATATTATCACTCAATGACTGAGGAAGGTAAGCCCAAAAGTTTTCACTCTTTTCCTTGTGTAATTCAGCTGCCGTCATCCCCTCTTGGTTTTTGTCCCTCTCCTCCTCATCTCCTCACAATGAATCGGCACTTTGCTTCCACCCTCTTTTTTTGTGTTCCTGCTTTTCGTGACACACGTTTTGCATAGTTTTGTTTTTCAGTTTGACTACAATCTCTGAGATTTCACTGACATAAGTGCAAATCATGGTGTCCGTGCCATTTTTGTTAAAATTTTCATTTTAAGTTCGCTTTCTTTCTTTTTTTTTCATTTAAAGCTTCGTTGTCGCTATCAAAAAAATTTATGTGTTTTTCTGTGAGGTGTTTTCTTTTTTTTTTTTTTTGTAGCTTTGAAAAGCCAAAGAGTCCTATGTTTCTCACAATGCCTTGCAAATGTATTCATTTACATTTTGCCATATTACAACCACATATTTTAATGTAGTTCATTAGGATTTTATTGGACAAACAAACAAAAGAATTATGTTCTTCCTAGTATAATTCTCTTGCAGCTCTATACTTAGTAGATCATCATTTTAATGCAAATAAAGCTACTATATCCTTGTAGAGAATGAGATGCTTGTCCACTCTTTGTAAAATATCTCAAATCCAATCAGGCTAAATGATGATTATCTGTGAACATCACATTTCAAGTCTTGCCACAAACTCTCAGTTGGATTTAAGTCTGGACTTTGACTAAGTCATTCTAACACATTAACACACAGTAATGTGCAGTATTGCTTTTCAGCTAAACCCAAAAGTGACGTTTTCAGTAACTCTCCTCTGACCAAAAACCTACTTGCATATTTTTGTCATGTCCCCGTAGAGCATTGGTGTCAAACTCATTTTCATTTTGAGCCTCATCAAGAGATCAAAGGTCTGGTTGTGGAAGAACAAAGCAGATAAAACCCATTAAGAAGTTTCAAAAATGTTAATAAATATCTGTCTCTACACTCAGTGAATTTTTGACTTTAAGTACTGCTAGAGATATTTTCACATTGATTAAATTTGGCAGTATACAGATAAAATCTGTAAAAAGCGATGACAGGCTGAGTTTGACGAATGTGCCCTGGATGTTTTGTGGCCAATTTTTAGACTTTCAATAGTTTTCTTTTAGCCATCTCTTCATAGATTTGTGCTGTACAGGACAAACAGTCATTTTGTCAGAATTGTCCAAGAGCTGCGGCTCTCTTTAGCTCCTCCAGAGTTACTCTACCTCTCTTGGTATCCCTGATTAATTCAGCCTCTCAGTTTAGGACAGTAATCTAATTTAGCTCTGCTTCAGATTTCTCTACATTTTCCCTGACTTCTCTGCAGTGTTCCTCCGTTATACTGTTTGCTCACGCTAACAAACCTCCCCAGGTCTTCACAGAAGAGCTAAATTTGTACTAAAATTGAATTACACACAGGTGCACTGTAATATTAATAATGAAGTAATGTCTCAATTGAATTGATTGTGTTGGATTTCATTTAGGACTAACAGAATAATGGGGCTGAATTAAAAAAATGAGATTTTATATTTTATCATAAAATGTCAAAAAAAAAAAAAAATAGCCATAATTATTTATTTTGTGATTCTGCAATACTTTCCGTTGGTCAAACAAAAGTATAATAAAATGAATTAAAGTTTGTAGTTGCAACTGTAAAAAAAAAAAAAAAAAAAATGTGGAAAATATCAAAGGCTGTGAATACTTTTGCAAGGAACCGTGATTTAATTCTGTGAATGTACTAAAATAATCTGTTTCGCAGGCTGCTAAAAACGTCAAGCGCACACATGCACATTCATGTTCAGACTTCAAGAAACAAAAAGATCTTTTTTCTTCTTCTTCTTTTCCCCCCCTCCATCGCTCTCGCTCGGTTTCTTTGTTTCTGTAACCCATCTACGTTGCTGAGAAATACATCATCCACGCCTCAGCGCCCACTTGGAGGTTTCACTTACACCAGCAGCGGGTGCGCACACCTGAGACGTACGTTGCTGAATTTGGCAAACCGGAGTGACTCATCCGCCCGCCGCTTACGTAACGAGTGGAGCTGACAGGGAAACGGAGCGGCTGTGTCAGAGCCAGGCAGGCAGGGAAGTTAATGGGCTTGGTTATTCTCAAAGACTCTTAAATATTCCACAAATTATATGTGGTTTTGGCAAAGTGAAAATAGTTCTTGCAGAACTGATTAATATATATATATATATATATATATATATATATATATATATATATATATATACACACACAAGAAAGTATTTGTTTTTTTTTTTTTTTTT